TTCACCTCTAAACGCTTTATTGTCCGTTGCATAATCATGAACATTACCACTCAATTTCTGAGTGACTTGAACATGGGCAACGCGTATTTTAAGCTGAAATATGAGAAAAATATAGTAAACGTAGATCATGAAACCGCCAGCGACGCGATCCGAGTCCATGCCATGTCTGGAATGGAAGGTAAAAAATTAGATATGTTCAGTTGAAATAACTGGAACATTTAGGTTATTTATACATATTTCAGTACTGGTTGCATAATTTCATGCGCAAGCCATTATTCATAGCAACATGCAACTTCAATTATTTCTAGAGGTTAATATTCGATACTTAAGCACCAACACCAATAATATATAAGAGGTTAAGATTAATATTAGTATACATGCCAATTAATACATATTAAGTTTAGATAAGTGAAAGTTATCGTGCAACTTAATATTATGTTGTTAGAATAGCATGCAAAATAATTAGTTATTATCTAGTAATTGTAATCAGTAAACTACTTAAGCTTAGGGTTAGTATACATATAGATCTAAAGGATTAAGGTTAGTTTAAGAGTTATCATTCAATTTAATAAGTTTATAACATGCAAAGTTAGTAGTTATTAGTAATAGTAAACTAAGTGAGCTTAAGTTAGTATACATGCAAGTTATGAAATGCAAGTTAATATAATTAGTAACATGCCAATTATATCAATGATTTTATTAAGTGGTGCTATTTTAATAGCTGTTATTCCTGTGGAGGGCGGACATAAATATTTAGCTTGTGTACTGTCTGTGGCCCGTTATGTGTTCGATGTAAATATCTCGGGACCATCTGATCGTGTCGCTAACCATTAGCTTTTTCATTAGTACACAGTATTTCTTCCCTATTCCTAGTGATATCAATGTTCCCACATTCTCTGGGGAGTATCCTCCGAGGGACCCAAGCACGAAAGCATTCAGTTCCGTTTTATTTCTTTCTTTTTGAAGTATTCTGCCAGTGCTGAGTATTTTCGGATTTTCTCAGCTCGTGCCTTCTCAAATGCTGCCTTCTTATTTTCGAAGGCCACCGTGACGTCGACGATTTTGACTTCTTTTTTGCCTTCGTCAACTATCACAATATCAGGCCTTTCGAGTCCAGAGTATCCAGGTATCTGCTGGTTTTGGTATATAATACCATCGTCGGGCTTCTTGGCAGCTTTAACGAGCCGGTTCACAATCGCATCATGCCGCTTCGTCATTGTAGTGAAGTGGGGGCGGCAGTGATTTAGTACATGAGGTAAGGTCTCGTTGGAATCTCCGCATCTGCGACACTTTTTATCGCCTTGCCCATGTCTTCTGCAACCATTGAGGGGCACTACATTCAGCCTCGCTCTGTGTACGAACCTCCACTCTGCAAATCGCGTAAACTTTCCATCCCGCATGAAGTGGTTCGATGAGTTATACGCTGAAATAATATCAAATGCTTTCCCTTGGTCGGGCTTAGCCAGTAGCTGCTTCAGGTAGAATTTTCTCGCCGCAGTTCTGAGTTTCATTTCGGCATTCTTTCTTTCAACCTTCTCATCGTCCACATACAGTGCTTCGAGTTCTAGCCGGACATTTATTTTCATTTTTAGTCGGCGTACAGCCGCCCTTACTCTTGACCACACAGACGTGATATCGTTCGCCGGTTTGCCTAGTACGCCTTCAAATGAGGAATTTAAGTATTCCGTCATCAGTTGTGTTGTCGGTTCTGTTCCGGTTCTTTTTCGTACAACTTCTTTCAGTGCGTCCAAGCTTGACTTTGCTAGTGCTTCATCCCTCGATGTCATAATTCTTGTGGCGTGGACTATCTGTGCAATGTCGGCAAGCACGCTTGTGGGCAACATGTTAAAGCCTCCTTCCTTGTACGGAATGTACAGTATCTCCGCACTTGCTCTCTGAGGGAGATTAGCCCATTTTTTGGCGCATTTTTTGACTTTTTTATCATAGCTATTTAGCGCTTTCTTTGCCACACTTCCGTTGCGCAGGTGGAATTCAATCTGCGGCACGATAAAGGTATTAACTGCGTCAAATTTTTGCCATGGTGCCAATGGTGCCTTGTCGATTCTGTCCAAATGTTTCATCATATTTTCAATGACATCTTCCGCCGATCTAAATGTCTGGAATCCCGTGGGGTCGCCCAAATATTCGTAGCTTTCTTCGCTGGTCAGGGATTTTAATTCATTGCTGCCTAACCGAAACTTGGTAGGCGAGGCCGCGTGATTTTTGCCATCCACATGTAGAGTGGCGCACTTATTTGGATTGAATTTTAGTCCTGCCCAATCTGAAATTTCCAGCGTTAGATCTAACAGCTTTTGTAGGCCGCTTTCTGATGTTGCCACTAAAACTATGTCATCGGCGTATGCCAAAACATTTACTTTCTGGCTTCCCACTTTATATGTTTCCTCTGATTCCTTTAGTGTGCGAAGTAATGGTTCCAGTGCCAGGTTGAAAATAATTGGAGATAGAGGGCATCCTTGTTTCACTCCTGCTCGTATCGGTATCTCCTCAGTCATGCCATTGCTAGATTTGATCTTGGTAGTACATTCTGATATACCCGTTTGATAATAGCAATGGATTCTGTTCCGAGACCCGTCCATTGCAAAGCTTTGAACAGAGTCGAGTGTGGCACAGATCCGAATGCATTTCTGAGATCCAGCCACGCCACGCATGCTTCTGTTTTCCTTCGACGGGCATCCTGTACAATAGTTTGTAGAAGAAATTATGCTCGCTGCATCCTTCGAATGGCATAAATCCTTTCTGGGAAGGCGATATGCGATTGTTTTCGATGGCCCATTGCGCCAATCTACCTGCGATCGTTGACGCATATAGTTTCCCAAGTGTATTGGAGAGCGCAATCGGCCTCCAATTTGATATGTCCATTGGGTCGCCTTTCTTTGTATTAATACCGTCTCTGACTGGTTCCAATTCCGGGGAGTGTAGTCTAATCTTCGTGCTGTGTTGAACACGGCAGCAGCAATATAACTTCCCGGGTCTATCTTTTTCCACACGTTGTACCGGATGCCGTCAGGACCTGGCGCGGTATCCTTGCACCTGTTCAGTCTTTTCCATATCTCATCCGGCGTGAATCTGGAAATCAGCGGGTTATCACATGTAGCGGCTTCTAGTGTTGGAACCACCTCTGGAATGTCAGTAGTTACGTGTCCCGTTTCTCCGTACGTAGCCAGAAAATGTTGAAACAGTTGTTCAGTATTTATTACGCAGCGGCCATTGGAATTCTCTTCTGTCACTTGTCTGTAGGCTCGTTTCCTATTCCGGCGGTACAATTTTTGTAATCTGGCTGCTACCGTCGGATCGAACTCGTTGGTCCTATTTCTGCGACGCCTCTCATATTGACTCCGCGGTCTTGGTTGTTCTAAAATTGCCGGCTGTTCATCGTTCTTAGAAGTCAGTCTGGTGTATAAGGCGTCTAACAGAGACTCAAATTGCTCTGGGTCGTTTACTTTGTTAAGTGCAGCTGCCATCTCCACCTGTAATATGGTTAAAGGTCTTTCCTCTTGCCTTTCTTCAGCAAACTCTACACTATTCAGACTAGCTCCTGCCGGTATTCCTTCTGGAATTGTGGGCAGGACATTTGTTGGTCGTGAAGCTGATGTGTCATTATTCGTTATCTCGCTATCGCTTGAATTGGAACGCGTTCGCCGAACGCGTTGAGCGACATAGGACGCGGCGTCGTTTTCTACAATGCCTTCCGTCTCGTTCCGGCATGTATTGTTTCTTGACACATGCCTTGTTGCTTGCTTCAACGTGTAAAATTCTTCCTTACAGCATCGGCAACGGAATTTTAAGGATGCATTTCTGTTATGCGTATTTCTGTGGTGCCTCAGTAGCCCATTATGGCTACTGAAATGTTTTGGTGCTCCTTGGCACGCCTCGCAATGAAATCTTACTGTCAGGGGAACGTCTATGAACACTAAATTGTTCCTATTCTCGACCTCTACTGGAATTGCAGAGCTTGTTTCCGACTCCATGGCTAGAATACAGTTGGTTAGTAATCTTAAACCTAGAGGGCTTTGCTACTGGCTACTGAAGTGCTAACTTGTCCGATCGCTAGGTGAGCGTACGCAAATCTGCGTAGCGATGCGGGGAGTCAATCGTACGAACGAGATCACCCACACGTCATCGGTTATGTATGGACACTAAAACAGTATTCCTTTAGATCAAGGGGGCGCACCTGAAGAACTCCGAACAACCCTTAATATAAGGGAGCGCACAGGAAGTTTCAGGAGTCTTCAGTGTTCGACTACGAATCAATCAAGGGGGCCTTCTTCAAGACTCTTATAGAAATCGTCTATATCGGGGATTCAATCACTCAAGTGTGAGATCGCCCTATGACAGATTTCGCCCCGAACTAATTTGCGTAGTTTGAATTTCCTTGGTCCAAGGGGGCGCGCAGTGGGTGCTCCGGGGGTCCTCAATTCGCAACACGAGGATCAACCAAATCAAAAGATTTGGGATCGCTCATGCGAAGAGTGCCACGTCCGAGACAACCGTGCCACAACTCAGCCCAGATAGGTTTTTGAGGGGGCCCCCGTCGCATAGGGCTCCGGGGATCACCGCACTAATAAGCGCAGGATCACCCTACCTTTTGCAAGGGGGCACACACCTCGTGCCTATACCGCTGGGACGGAAATGCCAAGGCAAAACCGTACAAGCCACCAAGTCTAACACTCAATTCGTAGAATCAAGGGGGCGCCGCTCTGAAAAGAGCAGTCACTCCCAGACTCCACGAAGAGTCTCGACAGGGGGGCCCCCACCTAATCCTACCACTAACCTGTACCTTAGTCCCGCTCCGCTCCAGTCCTTGTCCCGCATCAGTCCCGCTCCAGTCTCGCTCCAGTCCTCGTCCCGCTCTGGTCCTGTTTCGCTCGGTCTCACCTAGGGCTCCGGGGGGCTCCGCTCCGACGACCTCGGCACAAAATGACCAAAAAACAAAATATAGCCTTTTCTTATTTCCTAATCAGAGAAGCCGTCTAATTAAGCTGATAAGAACAGATTTTGTAGTTTTTTAGTGAATACTTTAGTCTTAACCATAAAGAATTTCACCTCTAAACGCTTTATTGTCCGTTGCATAATCATGAACATTACCACTCAATTTCTGAGTGACTTTGAACATGGGCAACGCGTATTTAAGCTGAAATATGAGAAAAATATAGTAAACGTAGATCATGAAACCGCCAGCGACGCGATCCGAGTCCATGCCATGTCTGGAATGGAAGGTAAAAAATTAGATATGTTCAGTTGAAATAACTGGAACATTTAGGTTATTTATACATATTTCAGTACTGGTTGCATAATTTCATGCGCAAGCCATTATTCATAGCAACATGCAACTTCAATTATTTCTAGAGGTTAATATTCGATACTTAAGCACCAACACCAATAATATATAAGAGGTTAAGATTAATATTAGTATACATGCCAATTAATACATATTAAGTTTAGATAAGTGAAAGTTATCGTGCAACTTAATATTATGTTGTTAGAATAGCATGCAAAATAATTAGTTATTATCTAGTAATTGTAATCAGTAAACTACTTAAGCTTAGGGTTAGTATACATATAGATCTAAAGGATTAAGGTTAGTTTAAGAGTTATCATTCAATTTAATAAGTTTATAACATGCAAAGTTAGTAGTTATTAGTAATAGTAAACTAAGTGAGCTTAAGTTAGTATACATGCAAGTTATGAAATGCAAGTTAATATAATTAGTAACATGCCAATTATATCAATGATTTTATTAAGTGGTGCTATTTTAATAGCTGTTATTCCTGTGGAGGGCGGACATAAATATTTAGCTTGTGTACTGTCTGTGGCCCGTTATGTGTTCGATGTAAATATCTCGGGACCATCTGATCGTGTCGCTAACCATTAGCTTTTTCATTAGTACACAGTATTTCTTCCCTATTCCTAGTGATATCAATGTTCCCACATTCTCTGGGGAGTATCCTCCGAGGGACCCAAGCACGAAAGCATTCAGTTCCGTCTTATATTCTTTCTTTTTGAAGTATTCTGCCAGTGCTGAGTATTTTCGGATTTTCTCAGCTCGTGCCTTCTCAAATGCTGCCTTCTTATTTTCGAAGGCCACCGTGACGTCGACGATTTTGACTTCTTTTTTGCCTTCGTCAACTATCACAATATCAGGCCTTTCGAGTCCAGAGTATCCAGGTATCTGCTGGTTTTGGTATATAATACCATCGTCGGGCTTCTTGGCAGCTTTAACGAGCCGGTTCACAATCGCATCATGCCGCTTCGTCATTGTAGTGAAGTGGGGGCGGCAGTGATTTAGTACATGAGGTAAGGTCTCGTTGGAATCTCCGCATCTGCGACACTTTTTATCGCCTTGCCCATGTCTTCTGCAACCATTGAGGGGCACTACATTCAGCCTCGCTCTGTGTACGAACCTCCACTCTGCAAATCGCGTAAACTTTCCATCCCGCATGAAGTGGTTCGATGAGTTATACGCTGAAATAATATCAAATGCTTTCCCTTGGTCGGGCTTAGCCAGTAGCTGCTTCAGGTAGAATTTTCTCGCCGCAGTTCTGAGTTTCATTTCGGCATTCTTTCTTTCAACCTTCTCATCGTCCACATACAGTGCTTCGAGTTCTAGCCGGACATTTATTTTCATTTTTAGTCGGCGTACAGCCGCCCTTACTCTTGACCACACAGACGTGATATCGTTCGCCGGTTTGCCTAGTACGCCTTCAAATGAGGAATTTAAGTATTCCGTCATCAGTTGTGTTGTCGGTTCTGTTCCGGTTCTTTTTCGTACAACTTCTTTCAGTGCGTCCAAGCTTGACTTTGCTAGTGCTTCATACCTCGATGTCATAATTCTTGTGGCGTGGACTATCTGTGCAATGTCGGCAAGCACGCTTGTGGGCAACATGTTAAAGCCTCCTTCCTTGTACGGAATGTACAGTATCTCCGCACTTGCTCTCTGAGGGAGATTAGCCCATTTTTTGGCGCATTTTTTGACTTTTTTATCATAGCTATTTAGCGCTTTCTTTGCCACACTTCCGTTGCGCAGGTGGAATTCAATCTGCGGCACGATAAAGGTATTAACTGCGTCAAATTTTTGCCATGGTGCCAATGGTGCCTTGTCGATTCTGTCCAAATGTTTCATCATATTTTCAATGACATCTTCCGCCGATCTAAATGTCTGGAATCCCGTGGGGACGCCCAAATATTCGTAGCTTTCTTCGCTGGTCAGGGATTTTAATTCATTGCTGCCTAACCGAAACTTGGTAGGCGAGGCCGCGTGATTTTTGCCATCCACATGTAGAGTGGCGCACTTATTTGGATTGAATTTTAGTCCTGCCCAATCTGAAATTTCCAGCGTTAGATCTAACAGCTTTTGTAGGCCGCTTTCTGATGTTGCCACTAAAACTATGTCATCGGCGTATGCCAAAACATTTACTTTCTGGCTTCCCACTTTATATGTTTCCTCTGATTCCTTTAGTGTGCGAAGTAATGGTTCCAGTGCCAGGTTGAAAATAATTGGAGATAGAGGGCATCCTTGTTTCACTCCTGCTCGTATCGGTATCTCCTCAGTCATGCCATTGCTAGATTTGATCTTGGTAGTACATTCTTGATATACCCGTTTGATAATAGCAATGGATTCTGTTCCGAGACCCGTCCATTGCAAAGCTTTGAACAGAGTCGAGTGTGGCACAGATCCGAATGCATTTCTGAGATCCAGCCACGCCACGCATGCTTCTGTTTTCCTTCGACGGGCATCCTGTACAATAGTTTGTAGAAGAAAATTATGCTCGCTGCATCCTTCGAATGGCATAAATCCTTTCTGGGAAGGCGATATGCGATTGTTTTCGATGGCCCATTGCGCCAATCTACCTGCGATCGTTGACGCATATAGTTTCCCAAGTGTATTGGAGAGCGCAATCGGCCTCCAATTTGATATGTCCATTGGGTCGCCTTTCTTTGTTATTAATACCGTCTCTGACTGGTTCCAATTCCGGGGAGTGTAGTCTAATCTTCGTGCTGTGTTGAACACGGCAGCAGCAATATAACTTCCCGGGTCTATCTTTTTCCACACGTTGTACCGGATGCCGTCAGGACCTGGCGCGGTATCCTTGCACCTGTTCAGTCTTTTCCATATCTCATCCGGCGTGAATCTGGAAATCAGCGGGTTATCACATGTAGCGGCTTCTAGTGTTGGAACCACCTCTGGAATGTCAGTAGTTACGTGTCCCGTTTCTCCGTACGTAGCCAGAAAATGTTGAAACAGTTGTTCAGTATTTATTACGCAGCGGCCATTGGAATTCTCTTCTGTCACTTGTCTGTAGGCTCGTTTCCTATTCCGGCGGTACAATTTTTGTAATCTGGCTGCTACCGTCGGATCGAACTCGTTGGTCCTATTTCTGCGACGCCTCTCATATTGACTCCGCGGTCTTGGTTGTTCTAAAATTGCCGGCTGTTCATCGTTCTTAGAAGTCAGTCTGGTGTATAAGGCGTCTAACAGAGACTCAAATTGCTCTGGGTCGTTTACTTTGTTAAGTGCAGCTGCCATCTCCACCTGTAATATGGTTAAAGGTCTTTCCTCTTGCCTTTCTTCAGCAAACTCTACACTATTCAGACTAGCTCCTGCCGGTATTCCTTCTGGAATTGTGGGCAGGACATTTGTTGGTCGTGAAGCTGATGTGTCATTATTCGTTATCTCGCTATCGCTTGAATTGGAACGCGTTCGCCGAACGCGTTGAGCGACATAGGACGCGGCGTCGTTTTCTACAATGCCTTCCGTCTCGTTCCGGCATGTATTGTTTCTTGACACATGCCTTGTTGCTTGCTTCAACGTGTAAAATTCTTCCTTACAGCATCGGCAACGGAATTTTAAGGATGCATTTCTGTTATGCGTATTTCTGTGGTGCCTCAGTAGCCCATTATGGCTACTGAAATGTTTTGGTGCTCCTTGGCACGCCTCGCAATGAAATCTTACTGTCAGGGGAACGTCTAT